ATACCTCAATGACAATTAGGAGACCATATTATTTTCTGACGAAACTGCTTTTCAGTTATTCAGAAACACAATAACCCAATAGTATAAGGGCGAACGACCAGTCCAGCGGATTTCTAAAAATCGGACTAAAATTTTTGCATGGGGAGGATTTTGTATACACCCTCCGCCAAAAGTATAAATACGATTTACGCCAACCGTTTAATATAGTGAAGCTTTCACAATGCAACAGTAATGTTTTAAAATTACTGATACCTGTCAATTAGCACTACAATTATTTAGCTCGAATTTTATTGGCTCCTGTTTGAAAAAATATGGAGTGTCAGCGACTTGAAAAAATCGATATTTTATATGTTTTACTACTAAAATCTGTATCGCATTTATACTTTGGGGTATATTCGATACTTTGGGTTGCTAAACACGATTATATTACACTACTAAATAAAAGTCTCATTATTATAGAGCTAGTTTTGAGTAACTTTTCTCTGAGGGATTTAATTTTAACGTTTACTATGGCCTGAAAATCTCTTTCGGCGATGGTTCGGTCGCCAGCAAACTTACAAACAAAGGAGACTAGCTGGGTTTATTCATTAATTGAAGGGGTATATAATTAAGAAGTGATGATTAATTCTCGATTTGTTAATTGGAAATGCCTCAGTAATTTATCGGCCGCACTTTGTATGAGTGTACGTATTTCTCCATAATTTCTGCGTAGTATATAATCGGTGGTACAAAAATTTCGGAGATTGGAATTGAATTGTAGATTTAATTGATACATCGACGAATAACACTGTACTCATTACTGATGATGATATGTTATACAATTTAATATTTGGTAATAAATAAAGTACTGTACCATTTAACCCACTATTCTAAACACTCCAACACGTTCTTCAATCATGCTTGCTAAATTTTTGTACGAGCACGACGCATTCCATTGTATGCTATTTGTGGTGTAACAAATTTCATTGTACTCTTTTTATGGTGTGACGAATTTCATTGTACGCTTTTGTTGAGCGTGGTTTAATTTTTGACGCGCTTTGTTTATTACTTTTTTTGAATGTGAAATATGTTTCAATCTTACCATTATCAATCACACATTTATTAACACTGCTAGTTAAGAATATGTGCACAAAAACCGCTGCAATTATTGTGAAAAAAAGCAACACAAACCAATTGAGATAAACCTATGCTCGCCTTAAAGCGTAAACTGTAACACATAGTTACACAAGCAAACATTTTCTATTTACGTTATTTACCGTTGCAAAGTTATCTTATTTCTAAGATAGTAATATAGTATGTAATAATTTAAAGTTACATAATTTGCAGCAAAGGCAAGAAAAACTATAAAATTTATATGCAAATAAATAACCAAAAAAAAATTTTTTTCTAGAAAAACAAACTTCCTGGCGCAAGGCTTTGGATTTGGTGGGTCCTTTATTGGCACAGCTACTGGACCGCTAAAACTGTTTTTTGAATCATATTATTATTTACAAACGATAAATCCAGAAAGGAGAGCACTAATCTACCTTACCCAAAACCAATTATAACCACCGTCCTAAAGAACAAAAAGAACGACTAATTAGTAGAGTGCATCTATACTGGTAAAACCCATGGTCGGGTCGAAGACCAGTAGGGTGGTGGGGGGAGGTCGGATATGCTGCTATAGTGAGTCTTTCCAGTATGTGCATCCAGATGTTGCTTCCGAGTCTTGGGGGGCGACTATAGGGCTTACGCAACAACGGCCATTGGCTTAGCATGACACTTTAGTCTGCATGAACAGCCGTGGCGCAAGGCTTTGAATACTCGGTCGTTGAAGTCAATCTTCTGATAAAGAATTATGGTTGTCATGCAGCTAATATGGGAGAGCAAATTATCAGCTGATTATGAGATATAGCCCTATATTTAGCCCTAATTCTGAGAAGCTTCTCTTGAATGTTGATAGGCTCCACAGCATTGTAGCTACTTTCTCAAATTCGGGGGGTTTCTGACTTACGTGGTTAGTACGATCTTGTCAACTATAATCTTGGATGGATCAAAAGTTTTTGTGGCATGCCTCGCATTTTACGAGTCAATAACCTATGATAGTAATACTAAATAAAAGCTCTTTGTGTCCGCAAAATTTCGCGGTTTATTAATCAATAAATATGTAGAATGTATAATTGGTATTACTCACGTAAATTCGAGCCTTGGTTTCTATAAATAAAATTTGAAAGAGGATATCTCAACAACTGCCTATTACTATTTAAAGCAAACCAAATTTGAAGATCAGAACTTGTACTAGCACTATGCACAGGTTATGATGAAAGAGCTGCTTGGAAGATAAACCTCGATCTGGAAGGTGCAATGATCTTCAGTTACAGTACTTGTGTTTCCTGCAGGTTGGTGTATTTTCTGACAAATTGATGTACTTACTGACAAGTTGACTAGTGTCATATGCTCATGTTGCGTTCTTGATCACTTGATCGCATAATGTTATGGGTGTCTCCTGTCACCACACAGGTCTCATAATTTACAGAGTTGAATAATATATAACAGAGATATTCTTGCAGTCTTCTCATAAATGCAATAGTAAGCTCAAACTTGAAGTGTTTGCATTATCTACCAACTGATAGCCTTGATTTTTGGCATACCTACTATTGTCAAGTTTACCAAGCCTTGCAAATACTGATGCATCTGTAAAACATGACAGTAATACTCTTACTCTGCCATTGAACATATGATGCAGAGGCTGTTCTCTGCAACCTAGCTTTACAATTTAATTTAGCATAATAAAAAAAAAAGTAAATTAGTATTAACTAAGAGCATATGTATGTGTACAATATTTAGGTGAAGGTTGAACAAAACTTATTGTCACAACCTTTAAATTAACTACTATTAGTATTAGAGTATTTGAATGCTTATATCTACAAAATTACTGTTCTTGCTTGAATACCTTGGGGCTAAAATAGACCCTTCTGACAGCTTGTTCATTATAGATATCAATTGCTGTAAGTTGTAGCCTATCATTATCAACATCAATGACTGATTACTTAATCAATTTACATCCAAATTGAACAAGTTAAAGTCATATTAATATACAGATCCATAGTACTGAGGAGTATACACAAGTATGTGTATGTGATAACCATCTTTTTGCTTATAATAATAAATACTGGTCGGATTTATAATTAATGTTTTCAAAAGCGATTGTCTAGGAAGGTATATAATGACATCCAACATAATAAAATTTATCTGCTAATCTTATTAAAAACACTCATTCCAGTCTGACTAAAACAATCCCATAATATTCATAAGAGTTGTACTACAGGTGACTTGTAAATAACAATTATAAAGTTCTTAAAGAGACTGCAAATGCATAGCTTACCTTATCCTCAAAGAGGACTTAATTATGTAGACTATTTGTATAAAAACCTACAATTAACGAAAAAAAATATGATTAAAATATCTTGTTATACCGAATATAATATATGTACTTCATAGGTAGTTGTTTTCACTCTCAATGGTTGCCTACTAGTGTTCTGTTTCTTATACAAAAATTATATACAGCAACCAATAATTCTGCTTCTACAATCCTGCTAAGACGTAGAATTGGAATTTTGTCATTATTGGCAGATCTTCCGTGCACCTTGACTCATACATATTGGGGGCAATTCATATTTATTGACTATATTTGTTCGATCCTCCTGATTTTCGAATTTCTTTGACCCAAATGTATCGGTTATTGATTTACTCGGTTCGAAAAGTGACTCAAATCCTGCGCACAATAGTTGACTTTTGATTTTAAAATCAATACCCGAACACAAAAACGCGATATTTGGTTCAAGAGTATTAGGTAGACTGGTCGTGTTATTAGCTTCTTGATGAGTGTGAACACTTGGCTTATAACAGTCAGGAGACGGAGATGGAATAAAGGAACTAGCAAAAAATTTTCGTTTTGCAAGTGATTCGGACTGTGGGCCGAGTCGGGGATGTACAGAAGGCAAAAAACTTGCAAAGCGGTTTTTTGCATCTGTCGAGCTTATTGATGACTCAGCACAAGAACTAAAGCAATGAGTCGGTTCATCAGGAGGATTTATTTCATACGCATAATTATTACCCATTTCATCTTGATTTGCATTTGTCCTCTCCTTTCCAGCATCCTTTCGACTACTTTTATTCGTCCTGTCATGCCAATTAAGAACGCCACCAAATCTTACTTTAAACTCCCCATTTGCCTGTCTTCGGGGACTGTAGATATAATCTGGATATTTTTCCTTATGTATCTCAGCAGCCATTTCAGCCGTACGATGATACTCCTTGCGCTTATCGTCTGGTAACGATCGCCACGCTTCAGATGCACTTTTTGAAATAGCTTGTTGGGTCTTGAGTAAATCCGATTTACTGTGAAATCTTTGGAATTCTTGTCGGAAAAGAAAAAATGCATTCAAAGGGCGTGGCGGCGTTACACGACGAAGCATACGTGCTTGCCTGCGGCGCGCAGGAGAGGAGGGCATGAAGAAAGTAGTAAAGACCAACCAGGCATCGTTATTAAAGAGTATTAAGTAGTTTTTGATATCGAGATGACACAGCCTCTTTAAGGGACCTTGTGTTTATCAAGATAATAAATAGGAGACTCATCATTTATGTTTATAAACAGTTATTGGTAGTGATTATCAGTCCCTTTGATTAGTTTCCAAAACGAACGTAGTTGTTACATGTGAAAGTCATTTGAGTTTGGGCGCACTTGGTGTAACAAATTAGGCTAAATACGTGTGTCATCCAACCCCTTTATGTAACGAATGACAAAATATGATTTATCGTATATTAATATAGTAATGGGTATCTTATTCTGCGCATTTGATAGTCGTACAAAGGTCGGGGTCACTTGTAACACAAAGAGATGACATATTCTGATTCCGTGTATACACGTATACAACCAAAAGTCAAATGAATAAGGTAAACAAAATCCAGCATCAGCTTTTATGAATTGAGTTGAGAACTGACTTGCGGGAAAGTAAATATAATTGGCACTTTGTTCCTTTAACCCAGATTTAAGCTCACATGTTACTTAACGAGGGGTTTATTAGCTCGACGTGCTCAGGAGAACGTTCATAAAGTCGTTCCAATTAAAGCAAATTATACGATATATTTGTGTAGCTTTGTTGCCGAAAGTGAACACCAATGGTTCCGCGTGTGTGCTCTCATTATTTTACCATTTTGGGAGGCAATATACACATATATATTACTGTTGTTGACTATGATTTGCGTTGGACAACTCTATGCAAATAAACATATTACATAAGCAAATTGGTCAACTACCCAGTATAGCCATACATTTTCAGCTTGTACGTTAGTATTAATGGTTCGCAAAAGACACTGGACAGAAACACCCAGAGTACGCGTACGTAATATTCAGCATGGTTTCAGCTATTACCGGGGACTTGTGTAAAACTTGATTTAAACCGTGACAGATTTTGTCTCCCAGAAGCTTTGTTGCATCTAAACTTTGTAATACACTCCATCTTATCGAGGGGGAATGTCCAACAAGCAGCACATTACGAAATGACATGCTAATACATAACCATAAAGTTTTAGTCTTTTCGATAATGAAGGCAAATCAAAAGCCGACAACAAGACTATTCGTAGTTTATATTTAATTTAGACAGGCATTTGTGGACCCATGGATGTATAATCCCATAGGTGCAATATTGAGCCATTTTTATTATAAACCCTGGAGTTAGTCTAATTTATGTAATACCAATAGCAAAAATTCAAAAGGTTTCGGCAAATACTATTTAGTACGTTGCAAAATCTACATATGTTCGATATGGTATTCAAAAGTTAATATCACGTGCGATATTACATTTTCTAATCCCTGCACAGAACATATGCATTAAGCAGTATTAGAAACCCAACTGTTTTACTAAGTAGATTGTGGTATTTAGATGAGAGCATATTTAACCTTTATGGCGCAATTATGATATTGCTATATACTAGACAAAGTGCGTTGAGACGATGATTAAACGTAAAAGATACTATTTTATAGCATCATTATTCCAAAGACTAGAAGCATGTCGTAACATTTTTTATGGCAAAAGAAACTTTTTTAACTGACGAAGACAAAAAGAAAAAGATGATAAAAACAAAGATCAAGAAAAATATCTCGGAATAGTCCCAAAAAAATGAGGGAAGAAGATTTTGTGGGTTGGCGGAATAGGAATTATTCTGTTAATTTTTTTTTTTTTTTCAAAAGATTTATAAAGAAATAAATTGTAATCATGACTGGTTTTTTACGGAAATTAATTATTATTTTGATTACTTTGGTGGTAATAATATTTTTGGGAGTAAATGAAACGAATTGCATGCTTCTTGATTATTAAACTGCACTAATTCTTGGAAATATTAATTAAATTATTGTAAGTCGTTCTGTGTGAGAGGGAACAACTATAGTATATGCAAATTACAGAAGTCGGGTTCATCGGCTTCATTAATGTCGCCATAGACTTGTATAATTTCTTAACAGCCTGTCTGGTTTTCAGTCGTCCCCCTCTACAGTCACCCCCTATATAAGCACAATTGGCTTACAGTCACACCTTTTTACAGAACCAACCGATTTTACAGTAAATTAACCTCTATACAGTCCTAATTCGCTTATAGTCTCTATCAAAGGACACAGCAGAACCGATAAATAGTAGATATATGAAAATTACCTTCTTACAGTCACATACGTGATAAAAAATAAAATGATTGGAGAACGCGCATTCTTTACAGAAAATTAAAATGTCTATAGCCTCTCCAACCAAGAAAAGAAAGAGAACTCAAATCACTAATGCTTTACGGCATGAGAT